TGGTATTTAGCTGCTATTTAGAATAAGAACAAAAGTAAAGAAATTCTCCACTGAGCACTGGAGTGATGAATTCAATTTCTTTCCCTTAGGTAATTACCTCAGATGTCAGAATTCAAGAAATACCACTTGCATCTTTTAATCACTAAATAAGGGCCTAATCATAGTGCTGGAGAAACACGTAACATTTGGTCAGCTTTGCTGCTACCAGTAACAGACTCCATACAGCGTCCAGTCAAATAAATGTCTCAAGTCCCTAGCTTCTTGCCTATCTTAACCAAAAAGTCAAGTTCCCCCGTTTGAAACTGGGCAATAGGAAGTTCTTGAGACTGAAAAATGCCGATCTAAATATCTTGAAGTGTTGACTGCAGACCACTAGTAAGTAATCTGTACTTTAGAAAGATGGAAGGGAAGTGTTTACATGGTGAGATATCTTGTCACAGAGGCCATTCTACAAGGTGGTGCATTAATCTCTTACTTAATAGAGACCTGCGAAGAAATGCTACAACTTTGTACATGTTAACAACTATAAAAGTATTCTACTTGCATGATTACGTATTTGTGGAATTTGGGAAGGGGAACTGGAAGGAGGAAATATGACTGTGGTTGCAGTGTTGACAGTTCATGTGCGTACTATAAACCGGAAATGCTTCCTTAGTAGCCTTTCCAAAAAAGCAATGTCCCAACAGCGACTGTAACAGCCTTCTACGAGAAAGAAGGCAATTGTCATTCCTGTGAACTATTACTCTCGCAGACAGAAAAAGCACCTGAACTGAAGACTGCAGTTCAGTACAGAGTGAGTCTGCTGAAACACAGCGATACCCCAGGGGGCTATCACCACTCAAACAGCTAGAAAAAGGGGCATAGTACTACACTTAGACGTTTAACCTTACCTTTCTTTGCTCTCTTGTCTACCTCATTCCTGCATTCTTCAAATTTTGCCTTGAATTTCTGTGCATCTGTTTCAGTAAAGATAGAATATTTTTTCATTAGTTTTACCTCCTTGCAACATTGAATACTTCCAATCTTGAGGAAAGATACCTGAGGAGAAGTTTTGTGTAAGCAAAACTTGTAGGCACTTGTGAAGCAATCTAGTTTAAAATCATACAAGATGCTATGCAAAATTCTTGAATCACATCTTTATGCAGAAGCAGTTTATTTTCTTTAGCAAGTCTATTAAAGCAGCTTATTTTGCAAAATATTTAAAACATAATGCCAGAAGGAGCTGTTTTGTTGTTATTGCAACTCCCAGCTGTCCCTAGCCTACAGGAATAAGAACATGAAGTCACAGACTGCCAATACGACTATCTGTGTGCAAAAGACTGAAGCTTAGCTTTGAGCGACTACCCTTGTCAGCTACATTATACCCTAAAAGGCCTCCACATCCTTACCATAACTTAGGGTTCTTAGCATCAACAATGGAAGATAAAGCCCGTTTCATCAGTATGGCATTCAGATTCAATACCCAAAGGCCTGGCCTCAAGCTATTCCTGACTACAATAGCTAAGGATGCATAACCTTCATTATGTTTTGGTCTAAGCCGCTGCCTGATTTAACAGTCATTCCAAGCAGCTGATCCAAGTTACAATGCTGCTTCTGCACAAGTAATACAAGCAACAAGACACAAAAGCAGATCAGGCAAGGTGCTTTCTGACACCAGAGCTATAAAGAAGGTAATTTAGTATGCCAACTTGGTTGGACTGACCACAGGAGGTCACTGTTGCCCCACAGGAATTCAGAAGTCACTCAAACTAGTCCAGGAAGTATTTGTATGGATTCCTTTCCAAGCATCTCAAAAAGGAAAGATACTCAAGGGGCACACTTATGTCTGTTCACCTGTCATCTGCTCAGTCAGCACTGCAAAGGGTAAACAGGCAAACAGGACTACTCCCTCAAGTCAAAACACTCAATAAGCTGAACAACCTCTACCAGGAAGAGGGAAAGACTTTTCAAAGATGAGCAAATAGTTACCAAAAGCCTTTCATTTCTCATTTGATTAAGAAAGAAGCAAGCACTAAGCAGGTGGACAGAAAAATTTGGCTAAACAATATGATGTTGGAGACTTGAGGAAAAGGAAGGAAACAAGATATACTAAGTTCTTCCCAGATGTAGGCAAATCCATCTAGTTATAAACTAGAGAGCCACTTTATTAGCCATCTGGCATGTAGGGAGAAGAGGTGGCTAATGCGGACACTGAAATAGCATGGCAAATGGTAAAAGCAGGAAACACAACAACATTTTTCCTCCTACATTTTGCTTTCTTCAAGAAAAAAAAAAAACACTTCTTTGATTCAGTCCTAAGGAGTTGGGAAAGCTACATTGTCATTCAGCCCTACTAGCTGATCCATATGTAATTACAGACCTACTTTCTCTTCTGGTAGTCAATGTAGTCACTCCAGAAAAAGCCACCAACTAGTATGATGGTTGGGTATGACTAGCACTTTTCACTGAGTGTTCCATTTAATCAAAACAAAGAAGATAGTCCATACTTCATTAAAAAAAAGAAAAAAAAATCAAATGTTCTGCTAATGCAGATAGACCAGAAATCTCAGGTCAGTATTTCCTGGCTTCTCATGCAAAAATGTAATCTTAGCTACAGTTGAACACCTGAGATAAATGAAAGCAAGCTGCATGTATTACTCTCTACCCCAGAATATTACTGCTTTTAGTTTTATTCTAATTGGCATTACACTTGCATGAAACAGCTCAAGTTAAAAAAAGTGCCTAGGGCAGAAAGCTCTGTAAATATTACTGGAGACCTAATTATTACACTGTTTGTCAACACATATGGTTAAGGGATTAACTGACTTCTCTCAGTTAAAGCAGTAATTAGCTAACACTAGTATGCAGTGGTAAGATACAGCATATCTACAACAGTGGTTTACGGCAGCATTTAGACATGTACTGTAACATAACACTATACAATCAACGTCAGTTCAGTGCCAGTCCACTCACTCTCTGCATTTAAAAATCGGATTGCCAGAAGTTCAGGCTTGGGGCTTTCATCTGCAAAGTCAGCATGTGTGTTCCAGACCCATGCCCTGTCGCTCCCAGCATTAGGCTTCAGCTCCATTAAGGGTGTGACTGAAAAGAAAGCATTAAAAGATGTACACAGCACAATAGTAAATGTTTTCCACACCAGCCTCCATAAATCTTATTGACAACTGACTGCGGTGGTTATGTAAAGCACTTTACACAGAATTACTTTTGCATAAATAGAAGACAATGGTGCCCGTATATATTTTTCCTTACGTCCTCAAATAAAATGATGCAAGACCATTACTGTATAAAAGAATGCTAGATTCCCTATTGTTCAGAAACAGAGTTTGATTCAATTCTTGTTTAAAGCAGATGACTGCAATACTGAGAGAGATGCAGTCACTAAGCGTAACTCTGAAGAAGAGTCAAATGGTTTGGGAAGAAAAGGCATCCAGACAAACAGCATTCATTCTTCTTTTGCACATTGAAAATACTACATACTACAAAAAATTATGTTAAAAAAAAAAGCATTATTCCTGCATTTAGTCATCAAATCAGGTTTATTTCTCTCCCATCAGTTTAAAACTCTACCACACGGTATTATAGAATTCTGCAGTGCTGAAAGATGTGCACATCATATTTTCAACCCATTTGTTCCTTCCCAGTAAATGGAGCCCTCTCCCTCCAAGACACTGTAATTACTTCACCTGACTCATTGGAGAAGTTGGAAGGTTACTTCTCACACTACTCTAAGACTTTTTACACTACACACATGCAAAAAGTTTACGTAGGGCTTTTTTTTCCTCCCTGACCTTTGGGTCCTTTGTTTAGTTTGGGAGAAGTCTGAAGAGTCTACTCACTTGCACTTTTTAAATTTAGAGATCAAATTATATTTTGTTTCATTTAATGTTTTGCAAAAATGAAGAGTCCTTTTGCCTACCTATGAGTCAGCATAAATTCAATAAAGACATCTATACTGAAAGCAGTTTTTCCAGGAAAAATAAAACTCAACAGGAACACTATAAATTTATCAGTTCTGTTTTGCATATGCACAACATTTATTTTCCTAAACAAAAGGTTTATGCTTATTGGTTGGTGACTACACTGCTTTCATATTTGCCATTTTATTTACTAAACAGGAACACCTGTGTCCTCTGAATAGTCTGACTTTCAGAGGAGATCTACCCAAAGAAAACAAGCATTATTGCTTCTGATTTCAGATTTGTATTAAGCTACTTCAAACAAGTTATTTCAAGTTATCTAAATGTAGTTTAACTCCACAGAATACTATATGCCCTTCATATAAAAACCTATTACCAAAGCAAGTAATGAAGTATTACCAAATTAGTCTACTTGTTCCTAGTTATATTGCCTTTCAAGTCTGTCTTGCCCTTTCATGTTTATTTCTATTCAAAGAGGATCAAAGGAACAAACCTCTCCTGCTCCATCAGCTCTCAAAACACATTATTTTTGAATGAGTTGGCCAAATATACCACGTTCATTTCACAAGCAGAGAAAGGCAGCCACAGATTAGTCTAGCCCCTCAGTATCTGTTTTCTGATGGTCAAGCAATTGCTTCTACCAGTTCAAACATTTAGCTTAAAGTAGTAAATTATTACGTGATTGCTTATTTCTCATTCTTTTATGAAAACAAGCCAGCATACATTAATTTCTTATACTAAACAGTATTAAGGCCTACATTTTCTACACTCTATTAATCATTAAAAAACCATGCACACACACACTGGGAGCAATCACATAACGTCTGTCTATCCCAGCTAAATTTTGAAGTGTCTTTAGAACATTATCAGAGTCTGAAGAAAAAAAAACCAAACCAACTTTAAGACTCAGCCTGGCAGGCAATCACCAAAACAAACTCTTTCATTTCTTTCCATTAATGAAAATAAGCACTCTTTGTCTTTGATGCTTGTAGCCTTGCGTGCAGAGCAAGAGACAACTGTATTTATAGTCTAATGTAAATGTGATGCCTGTTTAAAGACATACAGCAATTCTTTAGCTGCTACTAAAAAGCCACTGAGCTCTTAATCTACAATGTACAACTCTACAAGCTATTTAAAAAAAAAAAAGCATAGCAATGTATAACATACTATAATGGTTTGCACAGATTTTTAGGGTTTTATCCCTCCTCATGAGGAGGCGAATTGTTCCCTTCTCCTTGTGTTTCAGGAGTTTTACATCACCAGTTCCTCGTTCTTTCCATTCTGGAAGGTCATTCTCAGATGCAAATCGGAACAGCTTTGCTCGCCTTGAAGAAGAGAGAATTTAAGAAATTACCCTGCATGTAGAAGCATTTATCAAAACAGCATACTCGACTGAACAGTACAGTTGTTTTTAAGAGCCACACACAAGAAAGAAAACAATTCCTTTTGTAAGGTTCCCTGTTCTACTTCAGCATACAAATTTAGAAACTGATATAATAAATTAAAATTTAATAACAAACTATTAGGAATTATGCAACAGCAGTACTAAAATTCAACAGGTTCTGGACACACTTTTGGAGGACGATAAACACATTTGGTGTACACAGCCTTTTAAATTAAGGTAGCTCATTAACAGGTTTTGTTATAGCTAGAGTTATGTACAACTGCTACATCTAACCAGCAGTATTTATTAATTCAAGAAACTGAGCATCTTAAGGCTAAGTAAAGACTCTTGTAGAATTCCAAGCCCAATGTTTGATCAACTGTTAACAAAGTGCCTCACCCTCTGGAGTCAGTCATTTCCTTTTAACTCCAAACACCTGGTTGTTGCTACTCGTAAATCAGGAGTAAAGGAAGCTTAGTGCTGCACTGCAGTGCAACATACCTGCTTCAGAACATCCCTGTTTAATCTTCAAGATGCCAATGTGCCAAAAGTAAAACAGGAGCAGTTTGGGACATTAGTCAAAACTGACCCAAGAGACAGACTGAGCTCTGCTAGTGAGGAGTTTAAGACACTGCTATAGAAAAGGGCGCACCTGCTCACACTACAGGAGATATATAAAAATATACTTTTCTATAAAAGAGCAAGGGATAGGGACTTGTAATAAGCTAGGTCCTTCACGAGAAGGTGTCAGATGTTGGAGCAAGCTTCCTTCCAAGTCCAGCTGGCATTCAGCAGGTGATTCCCCTAACTTTAGCTATCAGAACAACCAGCATTAAAAGAAAGGATTCCTTTCCTCCTTCACCTCTTTGTAGACATAAACACAAACCCATAGAGCACTGGAACTTACACTATTATTTCCCACCTCCTTTTTAAATAAAAAAAAATTATTCTTTCCATCCGATTCTGCACATCGCATGCAGAGAGGCCTAACGGTCGGAGATCCCACCACGCTACCTGTCAAACTGTCCATCACTTTAGTTTTTACCAGAATCTGTATAAGGAGAACCCAAATCTCTCTTCCAGATGAGCAATACCCTTCTGCGATTAAAAGCAGTATTTTTTAAACCTATTTGAAGCAAACATCACGGATCAAATTCAAAACACTTCTTAAGCCTTTATCCTACATGTTTCTTCAGGCAGATCATACAACTTAAGCAAGCTATCCTGATTTGAGAATAAGCCCAATCTAAGGACAGAACTATGTTTAAGACAACAGAAAGGTACTGCCACAAATGCCCCAATACTGTACTGCATCTATTGCTTTCATTGTTTCGGTATACCACACATCACCCTTTACAAATGGGGATGCAGCAGCAACACTATACACGTCTCATTTTTTTTCTCCCAAGATACTTGCTTTATACTGTGATCACACAATTTCAAACCTCTAATTATTATCCAGGTTAATGCTTTCTTTTAGGCTAAACAATACTGAAGCCAGATTTGTAACATCAGCTCCCTTCTATTGTTCCAGACTTTAGAGTTTCTTGGGGCATTATTATCAATCATCTGAATCTGCCACTGCAGTAAATACCAACCAACTTGGATTACTGCTTCATACACAGAGATTCCTAACAAATTATCTAGCTTTTTATAAACACATTCAAGTTTAAGCCTAATAAGCATTTAGATAATAGACAGAAATATTCTTACATCTTAAAGAGTTCTTCCTCATCTTCTTCCAGAGTTTTTATTTCTTGCTCAGGAAGGGAAACGATGGGCTCAAACTGAGGATCATGGTTAGAATCATCTGCATTTTCAGTAGAAGTATCATGCTCCTCATGTGTTTCCTGAAGAGGAGAAAAAAAAAGAAAAAAAAAAAGAAAACCACAAAACTTGCTATGTACTTAAAAGCTGAAGTACTTATATCTATGTTTAAAATTAAAACATTTATGACTATGCAGCAATTAGATCTTAGTAACTGAAATACCCTGTAACAATAAAGAAAAATTACTACAGCTGAGAACAAATGGCTTTAAAGTCAACATACAGTTAAACTAAGGGAGGGAAGGTGCTCTTGCAGATATTTTAGTCCTACCACTCTTACTAATTGTGCAGAGGCTTGGCCTTGGAGCAACAGCTCTCGGTTATAGAAAAATAATTTCTTCATCTATTTTTCCTATATAATGCGTTTTATGCTACTAAAGCACTACCATTTCTCAGTGGCTAATGACCCATCATTAATGGGAAAAAAGAAAAAACCCACACCACCAAAGCAACCACCTACCCCAGCTTAAGGGACACATTACATCCAGAAGTTCATTCTTCTAGTCTTATGCATGAGAATCACCCACAATCAAAGGTATTTTTGAAGCACAGTTGCACCACTCATGAAATAATTTAAGTTTTTCGCTCTTTGGGGAACTAGGTTACCTGTAAATGGCCAAAATCCTACTTCTTATTTAGTTATTCAGGTATCTGTCCTAGCACCCATCAAGCTTAAGAATTGTTTTTAGTATGTGACTACTAAGTAATGATAAATATCTCTGGTACTTCATACATATGCACTGCTCAGAAGCATTCAGCAGAGAAGCCCCGAGCGACATTCATCTGCAAGTTTAATGAGGCCACAAACAGCTATCTCAGGTCAAGGGAACTGATTTGGGGTTTTTTTGTTGTTGAGTAACAGAGAAAGAAAAAACAATCTATACACAGAGGACACTAAAATCTTATTTTCCATTTCCAGATGACGGAGAGGCTCTGTTTAGAATATCCTTTACAGAGCAGGTCTGTGCCACACGTGCGTAAAGCTACTGAAATGACGCAGTCTGCTTTTTACTATTTGGTAAAAAAAAAAAAAAAGGGGGAAAGGTGGGGGGGGAAATCAGGTAAGAACTGTTGCAAAATACATTCTGGTTATGTCAACACCATCACAGCAGCCAGCATTAATGTCCCCTATGTAAGAAAAAAAAAAAAAAAAGCAAGAAAGACATTAAGAGACATCTGCTTTCAAGAAAACAGGAAAAGAAACAGCGGCCAAACTTTTGTGCACGGCCTCCTCCT